TCCCAGTGTAAAACATCACGACGCTTCTTTTCTGCAACTAACCCAATTTGTGCAGTTGACATTGAGCGATTGGAGATCCCCGCTGCTCTTGTCTTATGTGTTTTTCTTCCCAAATCAATTAAAGCTTTTTTTTTTCTTTTTATTTAACAGCACATTTAATTATAGCACTTCAACTCATCACATTTCGTTGAGTTTATTCCTGGCAAGAAAATTCCTGTTCAAGTAGCCTTGAATTTCTCAGTGGTTGAAAGTGAGCCAGCTTTTAAAATGCTTTTATTCATTTATTGTAACCATCACACAACTCGTGTGCTTTTCATGGACGTCTTCTGTTTTGGATTCTAGCTTGATCGCTGTGTAAAATCTAATAATTTGCCCAAGAATGGGCTTTTAAAATGATTTAATTAATGCATGGAAGCAGTCAGTCGATAAGCCCTTTCTCCTGATGAGTCTTGCCTAATGCCAAGAAAATAAACAGCGTGAACTTTAAAATTCTGTAAATATAAATCTTACTTTGATTAGGGGATGCGTTTTTATGTAATCATAAAATGCTGCTATGGTTTCATTACACTTGGAAGTCAATGAAAAAATGTAAATATGTGAAAGATTCTTCTATTTTTGAGGGTCATACCTAGTGGACTCAAGAAGGTCATTAAAGACAAAACCCTGTGTATGGGAAGCCCCAAGCAATATACTTAACCTGGGCCGCTCCAGTCAAACAAACAAGTCCGCTAACAAGGTAATAAAAATTCTCATCACGATTCTGCCGTCACTTCCTAATTCCGGCAAAGCTATGCAGGTATATAAACCCTTCTTATGACAGTATTTTATAGTGAGAACTCAAATGAACAACAGACTGAGTGAAGCTGACACAGTAGTAAGGACTACAGAGAGTTACGGCTTATATAGAAACATGAACCGCTATATATGTGTTGCCTAGCTAGCTAACAAAATCCACTGTTATGTCAGCTAGCTTCATTCCCAAAACTACAAGATAAGACAGAATATGTTCCCCGTAAGCTTAATATTTACAGGCAATGCACTTCTATGGCCCAGTGACAAATAGTGAACAGGATTTATCTGGAGCCTATTTACGCTTTCTCACAGAGCAAAATTAGTGCATCCTGTTCTCCTTCGCACTGTAAGGTCAGAGGTCAGTAATAATCAGGCAACGGACACGTGAACATAAGACGTCCCTGATTTAGCTAGGGGTCAGCATAATCACACGATAAGGGTGTCAGCTACCCTCGGAAATATACGTGAGAAAAATAAACAATTTTATGACAAACTGGGTAGCAGTTTCTGCAGGATGATTGCCAGGATTAGCCCAGTTGTTCTTTTGTGTCATAACCTCCAGCCCTGGAATTGGCTGGAGGAGCTGCATCAGCAGCATCCGTTGTATCTATTTCCCTGTTAATAGGTTCTCCTCTGCCTTACCATTCAGTGCAGTGTTTATAATAAACACCAGGTCAGCCGCAAAACCCTCGTGCACAGAGAACGAGGAGGGAAATGCGACATAGTTATTGCGTTCATCTCTGCAATAACAAAAGGCATTTTAATAGGAGGGATGTCAGCATGCAATGGGCTCCTCCAGTCTATCGGTAACGGGAAGCCGCTGAGATTAGGAAAGATTAGATTATAAAAAGTCTATTTATTACCAAATTCTGCACAACAGTACTGTATTGTACACTCTGCATGTCAAATCGTCTTGTCATTACTTATCTAGACCTTTTTATATAATTTACAAACCAACCAAGTTATGCGCCTGTATGTACAAAGTCAGTACTGGATGCACTGGGAGCACTGGGTGTTGGACCCATTGTTAAAAATTCAAAATTGCAGGCACTGAAAAATTAAGTGAAATTCCACTGTTACAGAAACGGGTAAGAAGTCAGTGAGGCAGGTTGCCAAGACTAAGATGCGCGGCGTACCAAAGCCAAGGCTCTGGGACCAGGGTTCGAGTCTCCTCTCTGTGTGGAGATTGCTTGTTCTCACTGTGTTGTCCTGTGGTTTCCTCCAGGTTCTCTGGTTTCCCATCACAGTCCAAAAACATGCTGAGGTTAATTGGCATTACCAAATTGCCCGTAGGTGTGTATGTGTGAGTGAATGGTGTGTGAGTGAACGGCGTGTGAGTGAGCCCTGCGATTGGTTAGTACCCCATTGTAGGTTCTTCCCCATCTCGTGCCTGTAGCAAGAATAGCACCAATAAACCTTTCTCTGAATTGTTGTGTCCAAACGTTTGACTGGCACTGTGCATGTATATGTCTATGTATGACCACCCCCACGTGAAGCAAATAGTGTTTATCTAGCAAAAGCGGTGCATGTGAAGGTCTGGGTTAAATCAGACAGTGAGCTAATATTCAGTGCTTGTAGTCGACATGTTCAATGCAAAAGAGACCGGCAGGGATTAAGATCAGTGTAATTTTGACAAGAACTAAATCATTATGGCCAGACAGCTGCAACAGAGTGTCTCTGAAACGGCAAGGTGTGTGATGTGCTCACGGTCAGCCATGGTGAGCACCTACTGAGAGTGGTCTGAGGACCATCTGAGGATGTTAGGCAGCCAAGACTGATCGACGCGAGATGTGAACAAAGGTTTTCCCATGTGGTACAAACCAACAGAAGGGCTACTGTGGCACAAATGGCAGATAATTTTGATGATGATCATGAAAGTAATGCTCCATGTCGCTGTGGGCCACTCAGAGTGCCCATCTGACCCCTTGTGCACCATCAAACATGCTTACAATGACGAGTTACAGCCAGTCCCCAGGATAAGAACATCCAACTTACCGACTGCTAAAGCCTGCTAAAGAATTCAGGTTAAATACAATGGTTCTTGATAATGAACTAAAACACTATTTTGTGATGCTTGTGTAAACATTGCACAGCTTCAGCGATTCGTCAGCTCGAGGTACAGTACTGTATGTAGTTACATTTATTATTACTGTATAATAATAATTATTATTATGCACTGTATTGTTTTATTCCAATTTACCTGCAAAGTAGACTTAAGGACAGATATAGGGAATGGATCTTGTTCATAGCCTGGGGACAGCCTGTATTCCAAAGATTTTCAGCCTTAGAGCAGACTAATGAGTGTCATGTGCTTTTCAATGGCAGGATGTCTGTCACCTTCGCCACTGAGTCCACTTCACAGTAACGGGATGGAACAAGGAGGGTCATAACAGGGATAGTCCAAACCATCTAGAATTCAGTGTGAAGATTCACAGCATAGAGGCTTGACCTCTTAAAAAGACTCGACTCTCTCAAAACTGCTGTGTCACATTTGTTTTATAGTAAGACAAAGTAAAACTCTGTGAGGCTGGTTATTGGCAGATTTAGCGGATTGGCACAGAGGAGGTCTGTTGACTGAGGGGAATGTTTGGTTTTGTGAACAGAATCTAATCGCGTAGGTTTGCGAACAGCAGGTGGGGGGTTCAACATGTGGGGGAGGGGGGACAGCTTGATATTCACTCTCACCCAGGTATTTATAACTCCAGAGCCTTCCTTAAATCATCAGAATACTGTAAGAGTTATTGAGGTTAACAGATCACAGAAAACGTATGGCCGAATACTTTTAATAATAGAACATACTTTTATATGACTTACGCCATAAAATGATTTTACCCCTAGGAGATAAATCTTGTATGAACTACTGGCCTTCGCAGTACAACTGCTAATCTAGTGGGTGTTTGATCAACTTTTTGAAAACTTAAATTGCAGATGTGGTACTCTTGAATAAGTTACTTGGGTTGAATTTGTTGAGGTAAAATACTCATCTCAATAAGGAGTTAAAACTGTTAGCCTTTGCTGAGTAAATGAATAATTAATAATACGTTATCGCAAAGAGCCGTCTTACCTGCAGTCCAAGTCACAGCATAAACAAAGATTACAAATCAAGATCAGACACTGAGAAGCAAAAATCTGCTGCTTTGATAAACTGGGAGCAACCAGTGATCAATATAAAATTAGATAAGCTACCATCAGATGAGAATGCGAGTTGCTGATTTCATGGTAGTAAGTCCAGTGGGGTGATCACTCTGATGCCGATTGGTCATGTCTAATTCCCAGATGCAGTGAAAAATGTGGAGTTACGTGCTTGCCTCACAGATCACCATCCATCATAACAATATGTGATGCATTTAAATGAGCATCTTTGTAAAGGACCCGCAGTCATGAGCCTGGCAGAGACAATTAAACTGATAGTACCTCGCTCACTGTAAGAGGACGAGGTGCATCCAAACAGCCCATTGGGATTCTCTCCATCAATAAATGCATTTAATTGTTCTGGCCCACGTTGGTTCATTGATTACTGATGACCTTGTCTCCCCACACAGGTTGACTCAGTGTTTTTGGTTCGTGGAAAGGCAGATCTTTTGTTTTCATCCGAAATGTGTTCTTTATCTCGTTCCCTGAATTCATATCCTGTGTCAGTGTTGAGGACAGCACTCCATAAAAGCTGTAAAAACATGCAATACTACTACTATTAATGGAAAAACATAAAAGGTAAAAAGCATGATATCTTGTGAAATGGTGTCTTCACGTGGAAGACTATTTTTGTAAGATGTGAACATAAAGACTGCTCTTGCATTGTACGTTTTTTTTCTTTTCTTTCTTTTTATGCTCCTTTCTTTAAAATGGAGACGGGTAATGTAGAGTCTGTTACCCTGCATGTATAAAATTAGCAGGGATTCCATCATGTAAAACAGAGCCTGAGTCAGTCAAATCAGGGAAGAAAAGATTCCTGTGAGAGTTTAATTGCACGCTGCCACCCTGCATTGTGCTGTACATTATTGTCACAATGCAGTGTGCCCAAGGAGTCATTAATGGCAAATTATATCAAGAAAGATTTACCCCGGTCACTTGCGGAGGGCGCGTGTGCCAGGCCGCCACTGGGTTTCGGGCCAGTGTTTGTCAGCATGGACTAAGGCAGCCGGGATGTAATGAAAGAGCGGGAGACGTAAACACAGTGCTCTCCTCCTCCCCCCCCTCCCTCCCTCCAGCCCTCCCCCTGCGAGTGGTGCCGCTGTGAGCCAAATAACGAGGTGCACTGTGTGGTGGCGGACTGTGCGGTTCCCGAGTGCGTCAACCCCGTGTACGAGCCGGAACAGTGCTGCCCTATCTGCAAACACGGTAAGGCTGCTCCCGTCGCCATGCGAGGACCTCCATTACACTCAATGGCAGGCGTTTTCATTCACAACGTCTTAAGTAGCTCAACTGTTTATAGCCATTAATCGATTCCTTGTTTTGTTCTACGCTGCTATAGGTTGTATCCTTGCAATGACATCAGCTGGTGATATCTATGGTACTAGACTCTCATGAAACCTAAAAGTGTCCAGCACAGTGGATGCAAGACAGCTAATAGCCTTAATGCTATATTTTGCTTAACTTCTGTATCCTAGTTTGTTGTATCTTGTCTACTATCCTGTCTTAAATAATCAAAGTACTGCCAAACGAAGCAGCTGAATGTGCTTAATGCAGTAACGGTCTTTTACTCCTGATATAAGGCAGTAACGCGGTTAATTACCCATATGAGAAAGACTCCTTCACATGTTAGCGTCTTCATTCAAAGCTTCTCAGTTTGTGGTCATGTGATCTAGTTCCCTCTATAATAACGTTACATATGTAGGATATACTTAAATGCAAATTTCCTTATAGCAGAAATTTCCTATTGTGTTCACCTGCATATTTCAATTACACACTTAAGTACCCTGTTATTGTTATTCCTTGTCATGAATAGTACGGCTTGCTAAATTAGAGCCTTCACAAAGGCGGGCTCTTTAGAATGTGCTGTTTCACACTTTAATGGCTTTCACGCTGCACAGGGGACATTTTTCTTATTTGCTACGAAGTTACAGCACAGGCGATGATCAAAGAAGCAAAAGGACGGCCTTGTCACTTGGGTCTGACATAGTCATAAATGACAGAGAGGTCACCAGTGGAAATCCACATGAACCCCTAGGGGGAGCTGAGTGTCACAGTCGCTGATGGAAATTCAGTCATTCCTTAATATTAGAAGATTATTTCAGGTCAAGAGTGGAGAGTATCGGGAGCTTCTCATTGGTGGTCAGTGAGTTTCTCAGCTAAATCTGATTGGCTCCTGCACTGTTAAAAGGAACCAAACCCATGATGTTTTCCTGCCTTCACACAGCTGGTACTTCTACCTGAGCTGCACTGGCAAAACAAGAAACTTTTAACTCCTGTTTATCTTTAATGCCTAGTGCCTTTGCACACGCCAGTTTACTAGCTTTGATATCACCGTAAGAACCATCCATCTTCCAGCCTCTTATCCAGTACATGTCTTAGTGAGCTTGCAGCATATCCCAGGAAGAACAGGGCAGAGGAACACTCTGGACAGGATGCCAGTCCGTCGCAGGGCACACACTCTGGACAGGATGCCAGTCCGTCGCAGGGCACACACACTCTGGGCAGGATGCCAGTCCGTCGCAGGGCACACACACTCTGGGCAGGATGCCAGTCCGTCGCAGGGCACACACACTCTGGACAGGATGCCAGTCCGTCGCAGGGCACGCACACGGGGAAAACATGCAAACTATACACACACATGGGTGGGAGCTGAATCCCAAACACTGAGGTGACAGTTCTGTTCTGAGTGACCTGCCATCAGAAGATGCCCCCCCCCCCCAATTTAACTGTCATTGATGATGCATCAGGGAGTCTTTCTGGACATATTAGCACTTGATGGAGTATCTCAAGGACTTTAATTTTGTTATATTGATAGTAATTTGTGGGAGGGGACTCACAGTCACTATAATGACTTAGCAGCCACAACACCTGCAGGTCAGACTAGGTACCCGACCTTAAGCAGGTTTGGGCCTGGCCAGTATTTCAATAGGAGACAAACTAGGAAAGCTGGGTTTCTGCTGGAAGAGGTGTTGGTGTGGCCAGCAGGGGGAGCCCATCCTGTGGTCTGTGTGGATCCCAGTGCCCCAGTGCAGTGATGGGGACACTGTGCTGTAAAAATGGTACTGAGATGTAAAACCAAGGTTCTGACTCTCTGAGGTCTTTAAAGATCCCTGGGCATCTTTTGAAAGAGTAGGGGTGGCACCCCGATGTCCTGACTAAAATTGCCCACCGTGGCCCTATCAAATCTGGCCTAACCATCCCCAATATCTAACTGGTAAATTCTAACCTGCCCCTTCACCACCTTAGCTACTGTGTGGTCAGTGTACTGGTGCAGAATGGCTGCCGTCGCATCATCCAGTGGGGGGGGGGATGAAGTGGCTCCCCACTGGTTCTGTAAAGCGCTTTGGGTGTCTTGAGCGCGACATAAACATAACATTCACTCGTATAGAGACCCAGGTTACTGTCAGTACCAGACAACAAAAAAAAACATTCGCAAAAACTATAACACAAATGCTAATCGAATCCCTGATGACATATAAATAAAAAAAAACCTTACGTTGAGATATTTCTCTTTGAGGCTAATACTTCCTTACTGCCTGTTCATTATGTGGCAGGAAGAGAAGATTCAGCACAAACACGACATTCATCAGCATTCCTGATGACAGCACAAACAAGCTCAGGCTAAACGATGGACCTAATCTAGGCCGCCTGCGGGGGGCTGATTTCTGCAACGCTGCCTATACATCCTCTTTTCCCTCCATAAACCCATATGTGCCCCTGAAACACCCAGTGAGACCAGGCCATGAGAAGGACGCCATGGTCTGGCAGTCCTGTAACCTCCCTAGTCGGGGACAGGCTAATGAGGGCAGACGGGCCAGTTAACACACGCTGAAGGTGCTGTTATTTTGGGAGGATGACTTTTCCGAAGCTTTAGTACCCGGAAGACGAGTATACTCCCTCCTGCAGCATCCACAGCATGTCTAACACTTGCCTTTATCTGCCTTGTCATCTCTGCTGAAAACAGACCGTCATGTTACATCCACGGGGGATAGAATGGCATAAGGCCATTTTATGATAAGTGTAAAGGTCTCTGGCCACCAGTTAAGTAGGATCAGCGGCTCCACATTCTAATGCTGCACATATTCTGTATTTGGAAAGATTGCAATCTTATCCTCCTCCGGAGAAAACGAATACAGCAGGGCCTACAGCCCTGGCCGCATGCATGCTTGGATAAACACATTAATTCAGCTGAAACAAGGTGGAGCAGTGTTTGTCGAGAGCATCAAGCATCAGCCTTCCTGTTTCCCACAATATCATTATGTTAATGATATTTATCTGCTGGAAAATATATTTATGAACTTGATTTTATTTTTCTTACTTGGTGCTTTAAGTCATACCGGGAGTTATCCTTGAAAATTTATCACTGGGCTAAATGCAGTGACTGAAATTCACTTGCGTAGTAAATGCTACAGATGACTGCCTAACAGATACAAATATTTTACACTTATTTTCCTACTTATACGGCAGAATATATTTACTGTAGCAGTCCAAGTTAAGTGGCTTGCCCAAAGATACGGCAGCAATCTGCTGTTGGGAACAGGTAACATTTACCTACTCGCCTTTTATTCAAAGCTAATTTTCCACATCTGTTTTGCAGTGACATGCCCTTTCATGACATACAAACTTAAGCATTAGATTAGAATTAAATCTCAGAAATCTTAAGTATCCATTTAAGACTGGGTGGCTCCATAGTCAAAGACTGCCTCCTGCAAACAAAGACCCCAGATTGCAGTGCTTATATCCACTTAGGGGACAGGGGAAATTGCGTCCCTGTGTGGGAAGGTGGGGGGAGGCTGCAAGGGCACTACCAGCTGCATGCCTGACTGCCTCGCTCTCCCCTGCTGGGGTTTATTTATGGCCCCTGCCAAAGGATCAGCAAATCGATACGTATTAGTACTTGGAAACAGCTTGCAACATCACCCCCACTTGGTGCTCAGTCTCACCGGCGGAATTTTCTTTGGACCAGGGTTCACCGGGAACGCTTCAGGTCTCCATGGGAGGGCAGTCACAGGACAAAACCCCTCAGCGCTGGCTTGAAAGGGTCAGAGAGGAGACTATGGAATAAAGGGTCACTCGGAGCTATTCCTGCGGCGCTTCACTCGCTGAAGTTCAGGTCTAAGCAACATACAGCATTACTCAAAGCAGCAGAGCTAAAAATCGGGTAGCCAGGGCTAAGTCAAAGCATAAAGAAGCATTCAGCGCACAGACAGGAGACGCTCCAGTCTGTGCTGTCTCCCACACTCCCCTGGTCTTTCTCTTTCTGCAATAGGCCCAAACTGCTTTGCCGGAACAACAATCATCCCAGCCGGCATTGAAGTGAAGGTGGATGACTGCACCATCTGCCGCTGCCACACCGGGGACTGGTGGAAGCCAGCGCAGTGTCTGCGGAGGGAGTGCCTCAATGGGCAGACGTTGTCATAGGAACAACCCAATGCCCCGCCCCTCGGGGCGTGGTCGAGATTGGCACCGCCCCCCGACCCAATGATACAGACTGACTGGAGCACAATCCATGTGGAAAAAAGACCGAAGAACACTGTTGATACCTGAAATACAAACTAAATATACTGCTTCAACAGTCAGGGGCACGGAAGAGCTGAAAGACAGACGTTTTTTTTTTTCCTGTTCACTTCACAACTTGTTCATTTTATCACTTGCTAATGCTGCTTACACAGTTTATATTTTATTTGTTTATCGTAAGCTATGGACAATAACATTGATAACAAGGACAAATTTTAAGCAGTATGCTTAGACTTGCATAGAATGGTGGAAACATTAAACAATATAAAGTGTTGAAAGACCATGAAATAAATTAAAGGAAATTATTACACATTAGCAGCCAGGTAGTGGTATCATTATAAAAGTCTGACATCCAAAGACTAACAAGCCTATGACGAACTGGCTAGCCGTACATCAAATGGTCGTCTTCTGAAATATGAACAGAAGAGAGCTTTGAGGTTTTCAGAGACCCGGTGCCACTGGGTGAAACCATGAGCAGGTTACCCATAAATTGTCCTACTCGGTCCACCGTCACTCATTGGCGGTGTTGAGAAGCATATAGGAGAATGTGCAATCAGACAGCCTCTTCTCCATTAGACAGATCTTATTTTTTCCCATTAACGGGCATTGTGCAATTACAGGGACAGTAATCCAGCCACAGACACACAAAGAAGACAGATCACCGTGGCTTAGAGGCGTCCGCTCTCTTTGCATTGCAAATAAGCCTAGATCAAAGAGCATGTAGGTGGAGAGAGAGAATCAGCCTTGCTTGGAGACGAGTATTAGCAAAGTGGGAGGTAGAGGCCAGGAGGAAGGTTATGGAAACAGGAGGGAGATTAATACCTACGTCAAAGATCTGACAGGAAGGTGCAGAAACATGATGCAAAACTTTTCGAAACTCAAAAAAAAAAAAATGTAAATGGGGAGCTTCCATTTTTAACAGATAACGCTTGACGTTAATTATTCCCTTATAACCACAAGGCTGGTTATAAGCTTCAACATGAAAAGTTCCATAAAAAGGAGTCATCTCGATTTTCACGCAGCAAGCTGAATTCAATGTTAATAGGTGTTAAAACAGTATTCTGCCCGCTAAGACGGATTCATTAGAAGTCACACACCCAAAAAAAAAAAAAGTGGTTACACGTGGAACACTCCTGTTAATTGCTCTGGTTATCCTCCTTAGCTCAAGATTACAACAGGCTAATAGCTCCAACTCGTTATCTAAGCAATTAAGTGAGAAACAGCCTGCCTTTAATTTCGGTGCCGCCGTGTAGCGTTTTGATAAATGCTTAGCTCAGGGCAGGCAGGACAGCAAGACGTTCCGCGAGCATAAAGTCGGAAGGAAGCACCGCTTGTCGGCATGAAGACAGAGCTGCAGGCTTCTTCCTGAAAATGACAGGCTTCTCCTTTTATCATCATATGGTTTAAGAATTGTTGATGCTGGCCTCCACAATGATTTCTCTTGCAAGAATGTGTATTGATCTACTGTACCCATCAAGGTATCGAACCCCGGACACTTTTCTCCATATTTCCAAAATTATGATGCATTCTCAGATGTTCATCCTGCTCTACAGATACGAACAGCACTGCTGTTTTGAGGAACCATGCTGCTTAATATGGATGCACTTTTGGCTTTGATAATGGATTCGTAGTTTTGCCTCAAGCAATGGCTCTGCCATTTTCTATAAGACAAATGCCAACATTAATTCCAAACTAAATTCTCCAATCCCAAGCGTGATTCATCGCAGTTGATTTTTTCCAGAGAGAGAAGCCACGACGTGACCTTTTCAAGCCCAAGTCACCACCAGTGATGGATGTTTACCTAAACAGTGAAGAATCAGGAAATGAGACGGAAATTCGATCAAGAGCCCGACCTGTGACAAAGGAGATACTCTTTATTACTATTCTCACAAACCCTTGCAGTTCCCAGATGGTTGTTGATCGGTGCTGAAAGATTTTATTCCCTCATTTAGCTAGTCTGAAAGATAAATACCACCATTTCAATCAGGAACTTTCCGAGTAAATGATCTTATCCCTTTGAGATCCACTAAGGAATGGTTCCATTTATTTAAAAACATCTTAACCGGGGGGTAACTTTGATATTTTGAATATCCCAATGAATTTTTGAACCTCTTCACACATTTTCCACCTCATACTGGCACTGAATCGCGGGTGCAAATAAATCGTGTGATATGTATTAGTTTAGTCACAGTTGCCTTTAATTATTTTCCACAATGTGTTTATTTCACTGGGTCTTGGGTCATCCAGACCTAAGGAGGAGAACAGTAAGAGGACAGCAGCCTGTAACCGGCAGACAGAGATCTTGTCAAGAGGCAGCTACATACCTCAAAATACATTTAGGGACTTTTCAATACTCTCTAATGTTGAATATAATTAGCATTTGGAAAACACCCAAAAAACACTGTTTAGGAGCAATCAGTTCAGATTCAGTAGTTACATTACTCCTTAGGGGAAGATTGGGACTAGAACAGATTATCCATGGCCATGATGAAGCAAGCTAACGATATATGTCTGTAATTCAGAAAAAAAAAAAAGACTCATTCATTCACTCCTTCCATCTTTGAATGACTCCTTCTGGAACACCCTTGAATATTACTGCCTAAAATAAGCATTAACACATTTTAATCATGTGAGATAGCTAGGGGCCAAACGGCTTTGGCAATAACGGTGAGAACGCTGGATGGATGTGAAGACAAGTCCATATCTCTCTAAATTTCTACAGTGGAGATACTGAGACAGACTTTCCCAAACTACGAAGGTTCCTGTCTCTGCACTTCAGTGAACCCTGGAAGCAAAAGGAAAAAGAACATTTCTTCGCAAAAGAGGAATGTATTTGTAATTCTTTCTATTATTAATACTACTGTTTTTTGGTACATTGTGAAAAGAGGTTTTAGGAACTTTTCTTTTGGAACTTTAAGCCTTCCAACCATCAATGCTATACGCAGGCAAGATCCACATCATTAACCTTTGCAATTTTATGTTGCGGTCACCTTGCGAACTATGTCAACAGGAAGAGGGGTGAAGACCCTGCTTCAGACGTGACGCAACGTGAGTTGGGCAGTTGAATGCATCTAATGATGTATACGATGTCACCTAATGGGATGTATTTTTAACACGCACGCGCACACACACACACACGCGTGCACACACGTCTATCCATGTACTGTTATCGCTAAATTAAATATTGCTCTGTTCACAAGATGCCGACTCACTGTAGCTGGAGCCTACGGAAGACTTTTTTTATTTTTTATTTTTTTTTTTTAAACAAAACTGTTATACGTGTGCCTGAAAACTAACAGAGAACTTTATCAGACATGAATAGAAAATACTGTTAAACAATGTTTGAGGCTGCCATGAGTGCATTCTGGGTGTTTTGTTTTGTTTTGTTTTTTTGCTTTATTTTTTAACATTAATATGTATTTGGAGGCTGGAACTAAATTTCTTTTAGTTGTCTTGCAATAGTCATTTTCAGACTGAACATCTAAAGAAGTTTAACTGCTTTCAATAAATGTTTCTTTTAGCCAAATGTTTTGTCCTACCCCAGAAACGGACACTCTGGTGTCCTTCAACAAAAACAAGTAAATACCTGTAAATACCTAAAAGTTTATGATGTGTATTCTGAAATCTGAAGTGGAAAATGTGTATTATTTATGAAGACAAAAACTATTTTGTTAAAACAGATGAACAAAGTGTATTAAGCAAATATGGGTGTGTTGGTTTAATTATTTTTTCTTCCAGAAAATGATGTCTAAGAACAGTTTACAGGTAAGGCCTCAAATTCTTGGATTACAAATAATTGTTCATGTCAGACAGTTACTAACTACTACTGTGACCAAAACAACATTCATATTCAGTGTGAAAATGCATCGTCTTTGTAGGTTCAAGTCTTTATAGGAGGGCACGTCTTGACGGAGGAACTTAAACACTTAAGCTTTTTCCCCAAGCAAGTCTTAACAACAACAAATAAATAACTGTATGAATAGACCGATGGGGTATGGAATGATGGAGCAAGACCAGAGGTGGATAATTCAGGAACAGAAAGTGAAAATCCAGACAAATATTTTGTAAAGCCACAGTTACAGAGTACTCAAGTGGTTGGTTTGAAACAAAATCTTGGTTTGGATTTTTACTTTCTGGACCTGAAATATCAACCTCTGAGTAAAATCAATTGATCCTTAAGAGAACAGAATTGAGCAAAATCTAGCAGATAGAGGGCTCTCTGGAGCCCCCTGACACCAAAGTCACTGGGCCAAGCATAAGCAGGTCCCCTTAGGCTCTGTCTGGATAAAGGGACAACGTGGATTCTACTGCTGTGTTTGATAAAAAGGGAATGATGCCTCCTGAATGTCCTCTCACCACACTCTGTGAAGACCATCCGTCACCTCCTTGGAGTCCAGCCTGCAGCAGCAGCCGTCTCCATTGCTCTTCCAGGACTGGGTCACCTACACTTTTTAAGTGGCATCCAACATTCAACTGCAAATAAAATTAAATCTTGATCAAACCCATCAGAATCTGGATCAGGTTCAGATTCTTAGGGCTGGGTGATACGTAAAGAAATAATATGTGGTATTTTAATGTAAAAATTCTGTGATAATAATATACAACTGTTGTGTGTAGCCTAAGTCTACTTGTCCAACAATAGCTGGTTAGTCACTGTCAGGTACTGACACAGTTTCTTGTCTGATATCGTCAATTACTGATAATATTGTCATGTGGCACAAGCGTAGCTCAGAATCACCTCTATACTTGTTATGTTTAAGAACCAAGGGTGTAGGTTTGGATTCAATATTGGTTGGGACCAAATCAATCCCAAACCCCCCATCCCCTAAACACACGCGGTTCCCCAACAATATTGGTAGGGGCATGACCCCACCATCCATACCCAAATCTATGCCCTTGTTAAGAACAGCGCTCGATGACAAAACTGGACCTACATCCCTGATGAACATGCTTTTTGCTTTTAAAATTGACATTGGAATTTATTTATTTATAAAGTGAATGTTGAGATAGGACCGCAAGTAAGCTACTTCCTGAAATGTTCAATAGCTACATACATTTTCAGTGTTTCTTTTTCGCTTTCCCTCAAGCTTGCATCCAGAGTGTACAGAAGAAAACAGACCAGAAGAAAATGTAAAATAAAATAAGGAACATCGATGTTTAAACCATCGATAAAAAGCAGTTACAGGACTTTCTTCTTCCTTCTGGAGTACTGTAAGGATATCTCAATAATAGCCTTCGATCGTGGTCTCAACTGTAGTTATTTTCCAGTTATTTCAAAGCCAGAGAGTGCCTTAATACCTATGATTTGTCACCGCTGAAAGACATAAGAAGTGACGACGTATGCACTTAGACGACAAAAAAGTCAAAGAAGCAAAAATGCTCAGAGTTAATTTGCGCCTGCCGTTCTCCACCCTGTCTGTAAAAATCGAGCATAACGCCAGACCTTTTCCTCCGATACAATTGAGAAAAAGAAAAAAACAAAATGAAACAGGCCCGCATCAGCATAGATAAAACAACATTTCTTTTGATACAGGTGTTCAAATATACTTGTGCCAGAAGTGGAAGGCGGAGGTCAGTGTGGGATATCAAGGGAACGCATATGAGGGCTGGTAAGAACAGCCAGTTCTACTCTCCCGTTGGCTATATTCTGGGTGGGAAGTGACTGAAGGCAGAGAGACGGCACTCTTTGGGGGCAAAGAGAAGATAGCAGAGGAATAAAGGCATTTACTGCCTAGGATTTGGGTTCAGGCACTGGCAAGAGCTGGAAAGCGGAGATACAGTCTAGCAGCCAGGAGGACGGGGCAGACCAGACTTTGCCTAAGCGTAGCTGGGGTGGTCTGTAGGCACCCTGGGGGTCGTGGAGGACGTACTGGGTGCAGAGGGCCTGGTCTGAGCCCGATGGGGCGTGGTACGCAGCTGCGCTCAGAGTCTGTGTCACGTCGCTGTCCGGCTTCGGCTTACGGGTCAGAACCCGCCCGCCTCCCTCCTTTACCAACTGGAGCAGCTCCTCCTTTGCAGGGTTTTGGAAAGAGCCCAAGAAGAAAAAGAAGCAGCCATCAAAGAGTGGAGGGAGCTGCGGGAGAGAGAGAATGAGAGAAAAAGAAAATAAGAAAAACATACGGCGGTAGCACAGGGTTTGAGGAGAGGCGTTACTATAGGAACCGAGAGCAGGGCGTTCCAGGTTCATCGCTACATTTAAACTTCTAACAGTATGTGTAACATGATTTGTATCTATTCATACAATCACATTTTAACAGATAAAAACGATAAACAGCTAAAAATAATCGACTTATAAAAACATATGCTATTAATTCAGAGGTTCAAAGCAACATGTGATTCCTGACGGACATCCAGCTAAGATGAGGCCTTCACCCAAGCAGTTCGGGGAAAAGGAGAGAGATAAATAAATAAAGGAAAACGGACGCACGAAGCACAGGGCCTGCTGAATCCAATATCTCTGGGCCTAGATTCAGGCCAGTCTTCAGGATTAACATGGCTGGGCTCCGAAGCAGCCACCCTTTAGTCTTTACCCCAGTACTCCAGCAGATGGGAGCTACATGCAGCGGAGAAGCTGCCAGGGATTAGCAATGTCCAATAATTGGATCTTCCATAGCTTCGAGAGCCCCTCGTTCATGGGCGATAAGACGGGGGCATAAGCCTGGCATACTGGAGTAGGGTTAGTGGCTAAAGAGCATCAGTGCAGGAACAGGGAGCTTCAGGCAAGGTTTCCCAGAATGCTTTGCAGCCAGGCTAGCCAGTATGCAGACAGTTCAGTTATTTCACTAATCATGTCAGCCAGGTAGGGTGACCCACCTTCCACAGCAGTGCAGCGTGTGAACAGACCGAACAGAACCGCGCCGTCTCAGAACTTCTAACAGTTCTTCAGATCCCTAAAACAGCCACGAAGTTCTTCACCCTAAACCCTAACGAGCCGCATCCCAGAAGACGTCTTCATTAGCAAACGTGTCCAAGTAGAGCAGCTTTCCGTGCCTCTGCGGCGGACATGATCAAACGGTTTCATTTGGCCCGCCGACAGAAACTAGAAACACACGACGGTTCATGAAGAGAGAGCTTTGATAAGTCAAGTGCGAGGCTGCAGGCCAGCCAAGAAATATTCATAGATTCAGCTATTCGTCCCCAGCATTTATTTGTGGACGTAAACCCCACAAAATCTCCAGCAGTAGGAGCTCCAATACCCACACACTGCACCAACTACAAAGCTGACATCCATCTATAGGTCCTATTTAACAAACCAGCATAAAACCCGCAACAAACAGCAGAGGAGAGCTTGCCACCCCCACAACTCCTCAGATTGACACTTAACATCTCCCAGATGCTCCCCCTCTCCGCCCTCCCCATCCTGTTAACGAGTTATAGGTCTCGCCTTTTATTCCTGGGTAACACTTAACCTTTACCGTGACAAGCGCTAAGATTAGCTCGCCAGGGGGCCAAGCCTGGTGACAGATTAGTAATAACAGAGCGCAGTAAGACACGGTAATAACACCACGCAGCCTCAGCTGTAACCCTACTCGCAGCCCTCCATGCGCGGACCCTTGCAGACATCCTGCGATGACGCATTTTCGCGGCGCTCCTTTATTATCGAAGGAGGCGGTGCAGCAGCGTTGTGTGAATGTCACAGAGAGGCTGGGAAGTTTCCTAGCCATCCTGCCAACTGCTGGGAAATCATATATCTAAAGCCCCCCCCCCCCCCACCAGCGCTGTCAGCCGTTCAATGGATATTTCAATGCACTAAATTGCGGCTCGTAAGCGAATGTGGCTCATAAAGGGAGCCGCTGCTCGCTGCTTTAATTCGCCTTTCTTGCCCGCAGAGATATGCGCACCTTCCCCGTTACTGCAGAGAGCTCCAGGGAACAGGGTTGGCAAGACAATGAGGGAAGCATTAACAATCAAAGGCGATCCTGCAGTGTCTGCGCAGCTCTGAAAGGAGCTTGCAGAAACCTGCACTGCACACGTGCATTTCAGGCCGATGACCTGCTACGTATCACCTCCTGTTGGTCAACTGAGGAGATGCAACAGGGGTTTCTCGTAACCATGTACCACGTTCGGGAAAAGCTCTACGGAGGCTGACCTAGTATGCTCTGCTTTCTTGTTGATCGCTTGTCAGGATACGCTGACCTACTACATGTCGCCCCCTGCTGGCTAGCCTACTACCTGTGGCACTGGTTGTGCCGTTCCAGCACTCACCAGATTGGCTCTGTTCATACGGCTCCTCAGTGGCCCTCCTCCCAACTCGTACTCGCTCTCCTCCATCCATCCCTTCGCCTGGAGGCACGCCGTCACCCCTGTGGAGGGATAGCATGGAGCAGACCGGCAGTCAGGCAATCCGCCCCTGGTGGCACACTAATAATAATAATCTTCCCAGCCCCTGACTTTTGTTATGGTACAGGTCTCCATAGCAATGAGCAAGTTTTTGGCAGGAACACCAGAATAAAATTTTAATCAGAAGAGAAACTGAAGTATTTACACAGAATTCAACCCGGATTTTAATAGAATTTATTATTTGGCTTTACCCATTAAAAATAGCTCACTGATTTACTAAAGAGTAACAAATACAAGGAGTAATAAACTTGGGCCTGTAGGCCTCTTGGGGGACATGGAGGATGTGGTGGAAACAGTGAGCCAGGTATGAGGGTTAGGGGCATCATAGGGGCATCATAGGGGCATCATGCCCTGCTGTACCAAGGGTTTTTGTGATGTCACGGTGTGGGCTAATGGGTAACGGACTTGGAAAACAGGGAGATAAACCGAGTGACGGAGGGATATATTCCGTGCATCTAGCAGTGAGCCTCTTTACGGTAGCGCAGCAGAACTCGGAATAAATGGCTTTTACACCCGGCTGTGTGCAGAAGATGGCAGGACCCTCAAGGGCTCCATGCTAGAAAATGTATTAGCCTCAGCGCGCACGTCCAGCTAGGCCCCGAGGTGATAAGATTGGTTTTCATGCCTCGGTTGCCTCAGTCCCGCACGCTTCCCTCATTCTGACAAAGGAGCAGCGTCTCCATCGTGGGGCGCCGCGCTAATTAACTGCCCCTCCTATCTGACTGAATCAGCGAGTGCGGTCACGTAAGACAGAGAAGAGAAAGGGGGGAAAGAAATGACGAAGAGGCCCGCAAAGCTTCATGCACGGTTCTGCTGCTGGAATGCATCCGACTGCATGCGCCGCAGGTACTTTGTTCCGCATACTCCTGCGGCCGCAGCAGCCAATGGGAGCCGAGCGATCCGTACTCTCCTGGTGGGTCTGAGAAAGAGAGGGAAGTCCCCCCCAGGATGCGTCTTCCCCATTGGTTCAACCATATGGTCCTGAAAGACCATGATGCACCACTGACTGAAAATAGAAAATGTTTCTCACCCCAATCTTCAGGGACCCTGAGACAGTCCAGGTTTTTGCTCCCGCCCAGTTCGCACCTCTACCACGTCTTTGGTTTCCTTGGTCGCTTAATCATTTTGTTCAGGTGCGCTAGCAGCTGGGAGGGAGCAAAAATGTGGGCAGTCTGGTTCGGGGAGAAAAAAAATCTCATGGGAATTATGCAAGCAATAAAACAGTAAAGTGTGAGCAATCACGCCATATCAAGAGACCAACATGACCACCCTGAATGAGGTCTAGTCCTGACTTGGTAGAGAAGGTCATTCCTTAACTGAAAGTTACAAGTATAAGAAGTAGAAGGGCTTATCCAGCAAGGAGACCAAGAGTAACTCCTGTCCAGGACACGTGGGCAAGAAGAAGACGCCTTACATCCCCTTCGACGACGATTTTTCGGCACTTCCCAAAAACACAACTATCTATTCATGTCCGTATAGCACGGCTGCCCACAAGGCACAAAATCAATATCGCTTCAACTTGATTCTGATATATGTTCCCTATGAGATAATGTTCATGGCATGGTCGACATCTCCATCCTGGCGGCCCGCTTCCGTGGATGGAGAAGAAACTTAATTACCCGGGAAAGTGCTCGGTGTTTAACGCCCCATCGATTTATCCGCACAAGGGGGCAAATGGTGGCATGCTTGCACAAATATTTAATTGGAGTTTGAAAAGTTACCAATGGCTTTTCCCCAGCGGATGCACTCACTGGCTTGGATGCTTTTAGGACAGTCAGACATGTTCCCACAAATACACCCATAGTCCTTTGTCGGGAAATCCTTTCATGTTGGTTTTTTCCAGAAAAACACAGAGGGGAATTTAAAGTGCAGGGTCTGGGAGAATAATGGCGACGTTTCCTTCAAAAATCCTTTCATTTTATCATTATTCTCAAAAGATAAAAAGCTACCTAATATAAGAGCAGAAGACCGAAAGGCCCGATTCTGCCACTGATGTTGTCTAGACTGTATTTGGTGGTTGAAGCAGGACACCAAGCCAGTGGAGATGTCAAAGCACAGAACACTTCAGCAGAGCCAATGACCTGAGCTGAGATGGTGAAGTTTTCTTCATGAAGGCTTCTGCATAATTCACCACCAGGAGAGATGACTATCTCCAGTCACAAAAAGTGTAGCCACTGCTGTATGCGTAACTGCAAACATATCGACAATGGTGCTCCGAGGACCCGCAGTCAACGCTCATTGTGACCGTCACTCCGTGGGCTTACATTTGAAGCTCAGCATCCAGCAGCCGTTGAGGACCCCGTGGAAGCAGGACATGGTTGTGGGCATGGTGCTGTCCGGCACGATGACGTGACTCACTGAAAAACAGGAGGAGGATTTGGCCGACCTACCCACAAGAGCACCGATCAACCAAGACGTGTACGATCGCTAGGTACACCCCGACATTTATTTCACCTTTCATTTTCTCTAAACTAGCGCGAGACATTATTTTGGAAGCCATTGGCCACTAACTGCGTTTAAAAAAAAACAAACATCAGAATCAGAGGTGGACCAAAGGCAAGACATTTGCAGTAAATACCATGAAAGCAGGGCATGTGGGAATGCCAGCGACACGGGTACTGCCCCACGCCACCACTCCCCATTGCTGTATTTAACTGCCCGCCTTTTCCACAAAATGGCAAGTGCAGTGCATGGTTCAATGCCTCAAAGCCCCCCCCCCAGCAGCACCGGAGCTCCCATCTGAATCAGGCACATATGCTCTAAATTCCTTCTATTTCCGACAAACCCTTCATTGCCTTGCAGAATTCGCGGCAGTTTCACCTGATGCAGACTACAGAAAGGCCAGCATTTGTTGAACCACAGTGGGATTCATATTCGAGGAGGGTTTCCCCCGATTCATTTTCAGCTGTCCTTCAGGAGAAAGATGTTCGTAAAAACAGATGTTTCATCATTATGCAAAATGAACACCTTCATTACGGAACATATTTGTGAAACGCCACTTCTAATTACTGCTATTCCACTGAAAGTTTAAAAAAAAAAAAACAGATCTGGTAATTCCGTTGCTTTTTGTGCTGTGAAATCGTTAGAAAGGTGCATTTGTTTTACAAAGAATAATGAAATTGCTGTTTAGAGTCTAACATTAAGCACAAAAGAAAATATTAGGGTACTTTGTGTTGTTTTGGTGGTTGAAAGGTCAAACTGCATACTTTTTTTAACTAAATATGTTCACTAACGTCTATGGATGCAAACATCAGTGAATCTCAGGTCTACCGTCAGCTAATGTCTATGGATGTCTATGGAAACAAGAAAAAAAAACTTCAGTGAATCTCAGCTGCATGATAGTACCAAAATAGTGAAATCTTCTGCATCTACTGCATCCGTGCAAAGGATTTCATTTAGTCCGACCTTTTTTAAGTGAGATGAAGCCCACTGAGTAGAACCACTGGCCAACGAGGCTTTTAACACTAACAAGATGGCACTATTGTGGTCTGTCTTTCACCAGCAGTTTTATCCCACTTCCCACTGGTTCAGTCACTGGTCTCCACCTCACACTATGTGCCCCCCAGGAGGCCGATACCGGTACTGGAGAAGGAGTCCACATGCTGCCCTCCGAGAAGCCTGGCCAGTTGGGTCAGCTGGTTCTGCTGGGGCTTGGTCATTCGGCTGCCCAGCAGCCTGATAGTCCCCTCCCTCTGCGGTAGACCCCTAACCTGGAACATGGTGGTCTATCGATTATAAACAGGCACAACTCCACCAAAGGGCTACATATGCAGACACATGTGCATATGCAAGGACAAAAAAACAATAATAAACACATTTTATTACATTCTGATAGATGCTTCAAAAACATACTAATACTGGGTCGTACAGATACAGATATATATGCAGACGGACAGGGAGACGGACGTAAACTCCAAAGGGAAATTCAGAATAGGGCCAATGACAAAGTTCTCTGATTTTTCTGGTCCAGCTATTAAGTAGTATTATTCCTACTTATGCATATCATAGACAATTGTTGATACCTTATCACCGGAATCTGACAAGTCTGCTTCATCAAAAAGGAAATGAACTCATGCATGGGAAAGCAGTAACTGTCATACCTTCCGCGTGCCGCCCGGGGAGCTGAGGGGAGAGCAGGGGGGGGCGGGGTCTTTGCGGTCGTTTTGAAGGATTGCCCGCATTTCCTCCGTCCTGGCACAGTCCACAGGACGGAGCCCAAACATGTTCCTGCAGGAGTCATCACAGCAATATGCTACAGACAACGTACCGTCAATATATTATCTAGCTAGCAAAACTGTGAAAATAACACTGGTATACAGTGATTTTGGTGCCAACGATGTCTGAATGGTTTTATATTAAGTTTATGGTGCTGATTAAGAATATGACTTCGGTTTTGCCCGATTGGCTCTAGTTTCTGAGATATTTAATACTTAACGCAACATGTTTGAAAAGCATTCAGAATTGCAAGAAAATTTTATTTGTTATTTTTTTTAGTAGTTTATTTTACTACTAGTAAGTCTAACATCATACAAAAAAGAAATTCAAAATATCTAACAGTGACAGGAAAAAGATATGTATTATTTGATTAAATAATACAATATTAATTAGTTATTAATTGTTATTAATGTCAATGCTTCAAAAAAAGTACTGTGGCTGGTTGAAAAAGACGACTAATGTCTACGAAGTGCGATGCGACCTTTGTAAAAAAAAGTCATAAAACTGGAAACAATGGGCTCTAAAGCCATTGACTCACATATCAGGGGAGAGAAGCACAAGCGTTTTGTCTGGACCTGGTGAAGTCAAAATAGGTGAAAACCCAGATATATCTTCTTTTGACTGCATTTGTGAAGCCCGAATGGATCCCCTTCTTCTGGCCAAACTACATTTTTTCATGGCCCTATCACGAGCATGTCAGCCATTTCTGGCTAAATACCAGACAGGTGTTCCCATGATGCCCTTCCTTTGGAAGGACCTGGCAGATTTGATCTGGGTAAATATTCACCACCACAGTAACAACAGCAATAAATGAACATGCAAACACGCACATGTCAACTTTACTCTAATTTTATTTTCAGACTCTCTTTCAAGGCTTCATCATTCATTTCATTACCTAAGACACTGTTAAAGAGTCAAAAGACAGACCAAAACCTATTGCATTTGTTATCACACACAAGTCGCATTGGAGGAATGCATTATCTTCATGGATGTCCATTATCGCAAAAACTAGAACCAATTCAGCAAAAGTAATGTGATTGTTGAATTCAGCACCCTCCACCCTCGAAATACCCTAAATCCATTCAAAAAACCTTGACACCTGAAAATACTTTTATGTAGACCTGTGTAATCGATTCAAATCAACTCTTCAGCAAGACACATAGCTATTTTCGTAAGCGTTCTCTTCTGCTAAAACCTTCTCCAAAAAGTCCAACAACAACCGTACATAATTTATGTATTTCTCAGGCACCTTTTGTCAGGGGCTCGAGATTATAGGGCTTAGCCCTACAACATTCGCTTGAATGAAAAACGATTGGCTTAGCGAGAGAACCATTAAGATTGTAGAGGAGGTGGATCCAAGCAACTACAGGAGGCGGACCAAGACTTCTGATTGATTAGTCCCGCCTTCTCTATTTGCTTGGATCCACCTCCTCTACAATCTGAATGGTTCTCTCGCTAAACCAATCATTTTTCATTCTGCCCACAGAACATTTTTGTGTAAGTAAAACTACAACAAGCACAACCTTGAGTGCCTTATTTCTGTTGTCTAGCCTATGTCTTGATCTGGAGTGCTCCACACTTAGGGAGACTGAATTCCCTGAGGCTTTTCAGGCAAAATACTTCAGTAAAGAGTGCAACTTACTGACTCATAACTCACAAGGTCCTAAGACTACCAACTGTCCACTTTAGCACCCAGATCTCTGGTGCAGCCCTCGGTCAGTAAGGTACGTCAGTCAGATCCAAATATGGGAAAGCACCCCCCCCACCCCCACAAGGATCATGAATACACACACGCTTGCTCACAGAGGACTCCTCCCACAAAGGCCCTCACAGCATGATTGTGGAGCTACAACAAGCCGTTGACATGAAGCATGGACACCTGCATTTGAATTCATGAAAACCCAACTCCGCCCCATCAAGGTAGAAACTTGACACAACGGGTGAAATATCGGTACAGGTGAAAAACATATAAACATGTAAAGAGAGAGAAAAGTTGAGCCCAAGGCAGGGGTTGGATCAATGCAAAACGCACCGCTTTAAATCAGGAGATGTATCTGGTATTTCCTAACAGCAACAAGCCACAACTGATCAATTTACCACTATTCAGTCAATTTCCTGCTATTCTATTGCGTGCAAAATAAAATTAACCTGTTCAGAAATAACTAGAAAGCTAAATCAACTAGCATCTGTTCAAACTACTGTGGTACGACGGTTTTGGGAAACAGTCGTACTTCGGATGTTGGTTAGTTTGAACTACCATGGTACGATGCATCGTTAATGCTAACTTCCGTCGTTGTTTGGGAAACGCACTCCTGATAGGCTACTTGACATCCAATCACATCCATATTTCACGTTTTTAGAGATGACATGTGCCACTACACATGAATGGATAGACAAGCCAGCCAGCTGAAAAACAGCAGGCATCCACTTTGTGGGGAAGCCTATGCAGAAAATGTACAAATGGGGCTGCAATGAACAGATGAGAAGAGACCAAGCTCCAGAGTTCCACCTCGTCTCCCCGGGTGCCTATCTGTCAGCCCTAATTAACATGCTTCTTCACCACCTGTGTAACCAGCATGCATTGCAGCTCAGATCGACTGTGCATCCTGCCGGTCACCAGCAACGCCATCGATCGTCGCGCTCGACCCGAAAGGTTTCTCGCAGCTGCAGCGATCTCCGAGGCTAAACCCATCCCCAGGGCTGTTTAATTACACACAGATGGTAAATAACAAGCAAACATTCTCCAAACATTACCCTATAAGATCTGGCTGGGTGCAAAATTGCCTTTAAAAGGCCAGCGAATTATCTCTGAACACATACATGTGTACTGACTGAGAAAAGAAGAAAATCTACGGCCCACTTCAGGGTAAACATAATCACAAACAGGATGAGGTTTGGTCCTTAACGGCTGTGGTGCTTGCAATGTTTTTCAATTCCTTCCATATAGTACCCATAAGGCCATTTGAGAAATTTCATATAAAGCTTTTATAAGAAACCTAACACTTAATTGACTGAAAGATGAATAACGTGGCAAGGAAAACCAGCACTTTTATATCTCAGGTGCTCAGTCTTTCACTCTGGTTATAAATTTCATTTTCTCATTCCTCAGAACTTGAAATTCAAACAGTCATAAACTCAAAACCCACGCGGGGAGTTTGGGGGCACCAAATGAGCAGGGTTGTTTTTATTTCTGATACACGTTGGTTAGGGTTGTGACTTGAGGGTATACTCACAGCACACTTTTGGAGGCCCCGTTCTCCAGAAGAAGCCTGACCACATCCACATGGCCGTTTTGCACGGCGTCGTGTAGCGGCGAGTCATTGTGGTAGCCTGGGGCATTCATCAGCGCCCCCTGCTGGAGCAGTACTGCCACAACACCCAGGTGCCCAAGATTACATGCCTCATGCTGAAACACCAATAAAAAGCAGCTTTAAAACTGTGACATCTTACATTTGACCCTCCGTAAAAAACCATGAAGAGACAAAAGTTTTTTGGATGGCCAAGAAGGCAAAGTACCTAACCCAGCTATTTTCATAAAATACCAAAAATGGTTCCATACAAATATTTCTTTAGGGTGCGTTAGAGCTGTAATGGTACAAGTATTCATTGTATACCTTTCGGTACATCATTTCCAGTTTGGTACACGCGATGAAATGAATGAATACATTTATTGGCACGTTTTAGTGTCGGGCTAGTGAGGCTTAAGCTGTGAATGTTTTTAGCAAGCACCTGAATCTTGTTTTTATTCGTTATTGGTGTAACTTGGTTTATGGTTGTCTAGCCAGCATTAAAACATGCCGACCAGGTTGGGGGGGGGGGGGTACTGATTAACGGTGTTGATCATCACTTTTTAACTTCAATGGAAAATGTTGGATCGGCAGGACGGATTTAATTGATTTAAAAACATGTTGCAGCCATCTAAAACTGTATAAAGCAGTGGGTCATGAACTTCATACACAGCATACCACCTCAGAAAGTATTAGGCTCTCTGCTTACCACCATTGAGAAATTAGACTTGAACAATATACTGGGTAAGAGCTTCTGTTATTTTCTCTGCATATGGGTTATTGTTTGACATTTTCTCCCTTCATGCTAGTGTTTGCTGCAGGGTGGATTCTTGCATAGTGCTGCAGGCGGCAATTTCGTCATATTCTCTCTTATGTTTAGTTCTTAGATGTTTAATTAGATTACTTGTGTTGAATGAACTTGTTTTCATACCTCCTCTTTATATCGTAGCAGAGCACTGTTTGCAATCTGCTCTACTTTGTTTTTTATTGTTAACTTTAAAGCACGGGAATTCCCCCATGTAACGAATGTTCACTTTACCTCTCTTTGCTTTTACGAAAGACCTGCATTAACACCCGTTTTTGTTAACCGAGAGAACTCCAAAGAGGATTTCTGCTTTCGTGCGAAAAGAAGAAATGTGAAAACAGCATTTGTTTATCAGTAAGCCAATTATAAACGTTCAATAATGTGCCACATATTGACGTTTTGTCAACAGCAGACCGCATATACAACGGCAGTCCAATAACATTATAACGGAGCTGAAAAAATCCTCTCACCTGGCAACATCATAGCCGTCGTAATGTCATAGCGCAACGCATTTCTCATGTGTTTGTGGTGATGCTGCTGTAAACAAACACTGTGCTGCCAGATGTATAATAATATAGAGCATATGATTATAGTACAATATACCAAATAATAAAAACAATAACAGTTACTCGTTTATGCATTTGCTATACTGTATTTTTACACATTTGCACATTACCTGGGTGCGTAGTAGGCAAATCCATCTAGGTTTATGCAAGTATACTCTATAACGATCTCACAATGGCAAAATCACCTAACGACACATTGGTCAGAGCGTATCCCTGTGGTTAAGTGACACGTGACTGTATCAATTCTGGTAAATGAAACTACACTGATACATAAAAACTAAAATAACACTAACATAGGATAAAAACAGGAATGATATGATAAATGTACAGCCTATATACAGTAGAAATAATGTGTTATTTGGTATGATGTGGGTTTTTTTCTCAGTCTGGGAATACTCAAAGAATTCTCACATATAAATTCATAATCGCTTCTTCGTTTTATGTCATTTCGCCTTGCGAAAGGCTTCATAGGAATACTTGTAAATCCACACCGTAGACATATTGTGTCAACGCTTGTTTTGCGCATTGACGATGTTGCTGATACGTCCTGACGTGATATTGGTTATAGGTATCGGCACATTATCACAAGAATGAGTATAAGAACGAGTACTCTATCGGACCCTACTGCTAAACCAAAGAAAGTGACTGTAAATACCTATTCCTCTTTTGCCATCACTAAGGACAAGATAAGCCACGGAGAATATATACTCGGATGGGATAAAACACAGGTCTGTCTTAAACGGGGCCAACAAAAAATAGGGTACCTTTAATTATAAATAGGATGAAACTCAAAAGTGACAGATATGCATGTAAAAGACTACAAGCTGCAGATTAAACTGCATTTCTGCAGATCCTTCAGAGACTGCCTTACAATTACCACGGAACTGATGCTTCATGTTTACGCCTGTGTTTTAAGGTGGGGGAGGGCAGGTTGCATCAGGCATGTAATTACTTTTTGATGCTTGATCAGCACAGGCCTGGAAAGGCTTAAGATCAGCCTGTAATACTGATGCATCCTTCCACTCGCCGTTTCCTGCAGGGTAGAGGTAAGAGGGATAGGAGAGACTCGGGGGGACTCACCAGGGGAGTCCAGCCAGCATGGTCCTTCAGGTTGGGATCTGCCCCATGGTCCAGAAGCTCTTCAACCGCCTTGACGTCCCCCTGCACGGAAGGAGGCCCACCCAGACTCAGAAAGCCTCTTACTGACCCGTGATTTCCAAAGTCCGAGACAGAGGTGTTTGGTTCGGGTACAGAAAGTAAAAATCCAGACCAGGATTTTGTTTCAACCTACCAGTTGAGCATGAAGACTGTCACTCTTATGCTCAACTGGTTGGTTGAGCATAATCTTGATCTGGATTTTAACTTTCTGGACCTCAACTTTCCACTTCTGCCAACAGACACGTGGTGGGGGGGGTCGATTGTGCGCAAAAACATGCTGTTTTGCTTCCCAGCAGGAACAAATATTGATTACCACAGACAAAGGGAGGAAATTATGTTTATTCCTGACAGCCTGACTTTAAGCCTTTGTACATCACAGCCATCATGCCACAGGATAAATCAGATATCCCGCAAGTATAAACATAATCCATCAATTACTGATAGCTGAATTAATCATTTACAGTAGCAAAACTTTTTTTTTTTTTTTTTTTTAATCGAGGTCCTCACCTCCTCATAATGAATATAATGTTAATATACTGATTTTCTATTGATATGACTAATTGCAAGTGGCTGCTTACTGGATTTAAATCATTGGGTCACGTCCAGATGGCTTCAAGGTACATTTCAAATCCTAATTGAAAAACCGTAATGGAATATCTGAAAGCCACACACAAGCTGCATTCTATTACCACTGTAGAAGCAAGTGACTGGGAATTCTCAGGGTTCCTGTGGGCACAGGACCCTCCTAATGGTGTACAAAGGCAGTTAACACTCTCTACCTTTATGGCGGCCAGGTGCAAAGGAGTCTCCCCCTTGTGGTTCCTCTTGAGGAAAGGTGGGGTTCGTGGGGAGGTAGAAGATTCTGGCTGCTGTTCTCCGAGCTTTCGGTAGGATGCTTTGGTGGCAGGGCTGGCAACTGGTGTCACGTGGGCCGGGCCTTTTTCTCCAAACTGTGCCCCAGGACCAGGGGACAGCCTGGGCTTCTTTGGGGTCCCCTGGGCACGCTCCCCAGTGCGAGGTCTGCCTCTTTTGGGCATGTGGCAGGAGGGGTCCGAATGTTCCCTGTCTGCTGTCTGGCTGCCCGGACTGGATTCCGCCCCCATTAGCTGCCGTCTTGGCCACTGGTTTGTGCCCCGCGTAGCTCTCTGAGACGGACTCCTGGTAGGAGTCAGGGAGCCACTGTCCTCATGCAGGACATCTGGCGGGGGCCCTGCTGGAGAATCACAGACTTCCACTGGGGACTGGAATGACACCTTCCTGCTAGACCTTCCCACCTGCACGCCATTCCCTTCCCTGCTGTCACTTGCCCTTGCTGGGTCAATCCCCCACTGGTGGTTAAGTGCATCCAGCTTCTCCTTCTGCGCAATCTTCTTTGTCTGCTTGCGCAGAACATGCTGCTGGCACATTACGGGTGGCCTTCTAACATGCTTCTTTCCAGCCTTCTTTTTCAGGCCATCACTGTTGGCTCCACATGAGTAGGATGAGTCCTGGGAGGAGGAACTGAAACTAAAGACAGAGTGGTCTTTGGACCTGGTAGAGCTCCCAGACAGTTTTTCTGGCATTTTCCCTTTCCTGGGGTCTTGTGGGACCATCTTCACCCGTTTGTCTACCCTGCACCGTATTTTGCGACTTCGCGGGCTGAACCAGATTTTAAAGTTTTTTGCAGCCTTAACAGTAGCAGACTGTCTGGGATGCAGGGATGATTCTTCAGATGGAGAAGCTAAAAGAAAAGGAAATTTCATCAGTGTCATGCACCCCAGACAAGGCCTGCCGATCGTCTGCTTAAACCCCACCCCCCATCAGTCTTGGATCTCCATAACAGTAACTTGTAAGGTAACGTTAAAACAATATGGATGACATGTCCTTTCACATAAATATTTTCCACCTCTAAAAAATCCAGCTCTTAATTAGTAGCATGCACTTCATTTGCAGACATCTATCTCCTTCCAAAAATATCTAGGTGTACCACATTCAACCTTCAGCTGGTGAGAGGAACCATCTAAACCAGCAGATTGCGTACCAATGACTTCAGCAGGGCTCAACAGCGCCTCCAGCTGGCAGAAGAGCTGTGTAATGTTGCTGAGCTGCCGGTTGATCTGGAGGTCCTTCACCCAGGCAGGGCTCTGGCATACAAGGCAGCCAGCACCGGCACAGGGACCAGCACACATCCTGCAAAGTGAGCAAACACCAGCCGTGCATCCAGTTTGGGTTAAACGGTGCAGAACATATTTCACACACGCAGAGTCAGTCAAGCTCAGCTTGATGTTCTGAGCTTATACACCGTTTTAAGCGATTCAGATTAATCATATTTCACGGTAGCACCAAAGACAGACCACCAACCCACTGTTAGTTTAAGATCTAGACTTATCTATGCTGTATACCACCTTACTGTATTGATAATGGTCCTGTATTTTAACAGCTTAAACTCTGCAAAGGGATGTATATCCAGGTCCATTTACATAATATATTAAGAAATACAAGCTTCAATTTTAAGTGTCCAAAGCACATTTTAAGCACTTGAGCAACCAAGTATAGCCTTAGTGAAAAATGAAATTACAGTATTGAGAAACAGATTAGCTTTGTTACAATTATGGATTTCATTCAGCATTGCATTCTGCATGTTTAGTTTCATATATGTGTATATACTTACACACTAATACACTGCTTGGGGTACTTGATTAAATTAGAAGCTATTCTAACCAGCAGGTTTTAAAAGGCGTCTGATGCTTCTTCTTTTACTATTTTAATGATAATTCTAGCAGACTTTATTTCCGGAATAACGGCATAGCATATTCAGTATTTCATCGCAATAAAACCTTAATAAAACAGTGGTTGGAATGTATCCTCCATAGATGATAAAGGTCAACCTATGATAATTTTAAAGGTACTTTTATAGACAGACAGAGACAGATGTGATTTAGCCATAACGCAGTCACAAACTGTCACGCATCTGAGGCGACACGCTTTCGGAGTGTCACGCAAGTCTATCTTATTCCATCATAAACCTAAAATTAGCTATGCCAAAAGCGTTGGATTAGTTTGCAAATCTTACAGACTATTTATAAGGTAATACAACTGTTACATACATGTAAATATGTGTGTGCAGATTTGTCTCGGATTGAAAATCTCATGCCAGCCAGCTGACCAAAGTTGGGAAACATTATTCAGACTCACCTGCAGAACATGTGCTCACATGTACCCAGGTACACCGGCTCTTTCATCAGCTGGGAACTACGTCAATCAAAATAAAATTAATAAATACTTCAAATGAACCATCGCTCATGAACTGGGAACTACAACAATACATTAAATTATACTATGGCGATTTCTCCGAGCAGCCCTTCATAAAACACGACCGCGGCCCATTACCGACATGTACCGGGCGCCCGCCCGGGCAGCCGGTACACAGAAGCGCGGACGCTGCCTACATGCTCGGCGGCGGCGGTCCGATTACCATTTCGCACACAACAGGAGCTGCCTGAAACGCGCCACTGCCAGACGGGTTCGGCCCCAAGGCCCCGAACCAGCACCGCTTTCCATACTCCGTTATTGTGCTTGCTCTGTCTGTATTACCCCTCACTGTCCTTCACATCTCCCGCCAGTGCGAGTCGGAGGAGGAGCCTGTCCGACATTAGCCGACCTTAGCATATGTTAGCATTTCTTTGCTTGGCGGACATTAGCCAACCATAGCATATGTTAGCATTTCTTAGCTTGGCGGACATTAGCCGACCATAGCATATGTTAGCATTTTTTAGCTTGGCGGACATTAGCCGCCCTTAGCATATGTTAGCATTTCTTAGCTTGGCGGACATTAGCCGCCCTTAGCATATGTTACCATGCTTTAGCTTGGGTAGATGAGCGTATTTCAGCTCGCTTATACTTATTGGGTAATTAGTAACACAAATGTTAATGACGGGAAGTTGTGTACAGATATGTGCGCTATAAGAAATTACACGTTATATGTTAACGTGTTTATTTAGCGATCATCATAGACATCTGTTTTTAAGGCGAGGTATGGGGGTGGGATGTAGCGTAGCGCTTAGCGCCGCTGCTTCCCATGGCTTTGGACGTGGGCTCGCATCTCCCTCCCGGCTCCATCTGGCATGACACTCACACAAAAATCTTATGACAAATCTGTATTATTCCATCATAAACCTAAAATTAGCTACTTCAAAAGCGTTGGTGTAGTTTGCAAACCCTATAGATTATTTAAAAAGTAATGAAACTGTTCCATACATGTTAAAGCATGTGCAGACTTGCCTCGAATCGAAAATCTCGCTCCTGCCAGCTGACCAAAGTTGGCAACCCTGGAGATGCATGTATATATTATGCAGGGAAAATTATGCTACTGCTGTGTGTTAAATTCATGTTGGAATATGATTCATATTCACTGTGAATACCGGTCAAAAGTAGGTTAATTTAACAAACTACGGCAATTTTGACTGAAGAGCAGCAGTATAAAAATGATTTATAATTATCACTACGTTGTAATGGTTAGATGGATAATTAAAACTCATTACAATAAGTCGACGAATCAGCATCACAGCTCACGGGAAACATTTCTCTGTACATTTTTAACGTATACGATGAAGCAGCTATGTAATTTGCCATACTCCCATGGCACTGTACATCCCCATATCTGCCGAAAATTAAGCCCCATTGCTCCATGCTCTAACTCAACCAAAGCGTAAACATACCTCATCTAATTCATGAATTCATTAATTAATTTTCCATCCTGGCAATAAAAATGATGGTGGAATCAGCACTGTATAATCTTTCTATTTCATGTCAGACAGGCGGTTCTGGTAGTCAGCCGGGGGTAATATGGGGTTCTGGGCATCTGGGTGGCACTGGAGTCGGTCATGCCAGTGTCAGCTAGTCCGGTCAACATCCCAGCTACGTCACTGTTATTTGTATTAAAATTCTCCTCTGAGCTGCCCTTATAATCATAAAAAATGGAAGATAACAGGGCTCAAAACAAATTATAAAGATGTGTAAAGCTTCATAATGAATACCCGAACAGCCATGTGAGAATGAATACTAATGAAAAACCACGTGACCCTGACTGGGCCTGTGTACAAAAGCACGTGACGTACAGCGGCTCAGACCTGATCATTTGACTCCTCCTCCCGTAATGCCCCCGCCCACATAGACACAATGCGTATCAAGTTTTAATTGATTATTGATGGGTAAAACCGTGGGGGACATTTCAATAATTATTATTGCTCTCCTTTGTTGTGTCTGAATTCATCTGTTCCAAACTTTTGAGCTAGATTTTTTATTATATAATAATCCTGTAAGTCATTGTGCATCTTTACAGACTCCTAAAGGAATTCCAAATAAAATGGGCTATGCTGTAAGTCCTTGTAAGTAGCATTCACCTAACGGTAAGATTGATTTGTAAAGGGGAAGTGTCCTTGTTTAGTCATTACTACATCACTGGAATAAAGATAGATTTAATTTATACAAAGATAATGAAGCTTGACCTCAAAATCCGCATCACCTAAATAAAACAAAGCATTGCATTATATCAGTATGTGTCCGGTTTACTAACGGACCCAAAGAGCTTCTTTGCACGCATGTAATGGAACCACATTTTGTTCCCCATAGCAAAAGCCGAAGTAAAAATAATTATACCACCATCTAGTGGATGAAGCATAATACAACATCCATCAAATAAATGTCATACTCTCGAGGTTTACGTAATGGATTCGGTTGCCTCTAATGCTTGGGCAGGTATGAAGTCTTGAATGTCTGCGTTTTGGCGGCAATTGACCAGCGGGTGATATCCCAGATGGGCTATGCTATTGGCCAAAAAGCTTGCTGACTGGTTCTGACTCTGCTCAAGTGACTCTGCCAAGCTCCTAACCTGCTACTAACTACACTGTCCTTCTATCACAGACAGATATTTCCAGGATGTGTATTGCGGTGTCAGTGCCAAACCAACACCCAATGACTCAATGTATCAGATTCTGTTTCATTTTTAGGATCTGCAGTATTTTCATCCAGGACTGGAAGTTGCCTCTTTGATCTATGCCCTAATAGGCATCTAATAAACGTTCAATAATAAATTTATTTCCTCATAATCATGCCATGTTTAGCCTGCTTACTGCATGTGCATTTTTAGTAACAAGTTCAACCAAATAATTGGACTAATTGATAATGGGGCCCAAAGACCAATTGATTCTTGACACTAAATAATATTGGCAGGTACAACCAAATAGAATGTTTATCTTAAGACACTCACTCAAGGTGCTAAAATCGTCTGAAATTTAAGCCTTAAGTAACATTTTAATTATGTTGGTTAAAACAAAGAAACCTCTTGAAGTGAGCACAGATTTGGATGGACCATGTAACCAGTTAAGGTTCCCCTCACAGAGAACTGGGAGGGAAAAATTACTGAAATCATCCTTGGTGATAACAACCAATGCCACTCTGAATGGCTATTCATGGAGGCTGGCTACACGCCCCTGGGGTCCTCCAGAAAATTTCTACAACTGACATTAAGCTCGTCATCGATTTTGGTCTGGATAAGGAATCACTGGAGGGTTGCTCTTATTACTGAATGGTATGGTGTATGGTGACAGCCTTCAGGGTTTGCATGTTCTCCACACATTTGTATGGGTTCCCTCCGGCTTCCCTTGGCGCTCTCCTGCAGTCTAAAAACACGTGGACAGGGAAAATTAGTTATAGTCTTGCTTTAGTGCACAACGTCGTTGCTGAACTTTTTTGCTTGATGGTCATACTGTTAAGTCAGTAATGACTGCTACATAGCAGGCTACATTTACAGAGGTCATTTTATGTCTATTTGGTTTTATTTCATTAGCTTCATACTCCTTTTCTATTATGTATCTTTTAATTAATTATCCTAATGCTACTATAACAGTTTAATGGCCCTGTTTAAGGCAGTAATTACTATTAAAATGTTTTTCCAGCCAGGCTTCAGATGACATGACTATATTAGGTATTATCAATGGGTGACCTCTCCTCTTCATTTCCTACATCTTAATCCATAATTAAGCAGGTTGGCTATTTGCCTTGTTCAGCTCGTCTATATTTATTCACCTTTTGGGTGTTTTTTTACCCTCCCTCTGTTTCCTCTTGTAAAGAGCAGAAATGACCCATAAGTAAGTAGTGCTGAGAGGAACAGAATCTCAATGACAATGACAAAACAACTTCTATTCAGCCTTAATGAATAACATGGTCTATACAGCTTTTCACTAAACAAACTTTGAAGATTTGGGTATGACTTGTCGAGTGAAGACGCACAGTCTGACATAACTAGCAATCGGTCTTTGTCGTGCTTGCTTAGTCAGTCATTAGTTTTATCTTACACAGGTAGAGATCACAAATGCTGACCCTAGGAAACGGAACAAAAGGTTTTTTTTGGTGGTTAGATTTCTACATTGTGAGGGATGTGAAGTTGGTGCTGGGAATGACATCACACCTGAGTTAACAGCATTCCAGTGTAGCCAGGTTCATTGTTAGCCATTGTTAGCCATACCAGTTGATGATACCGCAGTACAAGGTATTTTGTACACAAAAACGCTGTAGCAACATGTCCACAGATAGAGGCTGGACCAGGGGTGGCCAATCTTATCCGCTAAGGGCCGGTGTGTATGCGGGTTTTCGCTGCAACTCCCTAATTAGATTACTAATTAGAGGACTGATTGGCTGAAGAGTCCTCACACCTGGATTTGAACAGCTGACCTACAGGTTATCCCAAAAACCTGCATACACACCGACCCTTTGCAGATAAGATTGCCCACCCCTAGGCTGGACAGTACTGTATGTACGACTGATTTAATGAGATACAAATAGGACTTAAGTGCTAATAAGCATTATATGACTACAGCTTTCATTTCTGTTGAAGGGCGCAATCATCTTGAATTTTGTTGTAGAGGTTCCTCCGACTTCAGGGGGTGTTTCAGTTGAAATTTCCGATTTGGCACTCAGAAATTCCGACTTCCCAGCTCAAATGGAATGCACCATTAATCCCATGGTATGAACCAGGGTCGCCCAGACAAAACTCCATGGCCCGGAAATTATACGTGGCTGGTTCCAATAAAAAAATGATGCATTGCATGTCTACTAAGGCTTAGTGATCAACAAAAAGTTAGGAACAAAACATTCTGGGTTGTGATTAATCATAAGGCCTCAGGCCAAGATCCAATGCACTGTCCACTCACCTGGAAGAAAACAGCCGGTGGAGCACCTGGACACCATTACAGTCTCATGTATTCGACTTGCTGTAATGTAGGGGTCTGCACCCTGCTCAGAACGACACTGATGGCTAATCATGTTACATCTGGCAACCCGCCAAGCTTGACTTGGAACAGAGAAGCACAGAATTAGGATGGATGTGGAGTATATCTGTGATTGCACATTTTATATTTAGCTGGGGAATTTTACTTACACAAAGATGTTATGAGGGCAGAAAGAACAATGATTGGTTTAGAGAGATAACCAATCAGATTAGAGAAATAGAGGAGGCTGGACCAAGACATCTGATTGGTTGGTTCCACCCTCTTTAGTTGCTTGGACCCACCTCCTCTCCAATCTGATTGGTTATCTGCCTAAACCAATCACCTTACCTTCTGCCCTCAGAACAGTTGTGTGTAAGTAAAACACCATTGAGCATATATTTACTTCCTCTAGTTAGCGAATTTTGTAGCTGTAGCCATACCAAAGTGTGTGATTTGTGCTTACTGACAGTGGAGCATTATAATAGTCTAACCCACTATGTGTAAATGCATATATTAATTTTTCTATATCCTGTAAAATTTTTAAAGCTGTACGAAGCATTTCCTTAGCAGAAAATTCGTGAGAATGAAACGACAGGTCTGTATCTAGGCTAGGGGCTGGTC